GGGATTAACAGGCCGCCCGCCACCACACCTGGCTAATTTGTTTGTATTTAGTAAGAGACGGTTTCACCAATGTTCGTGTCAGGGCTGGGTCTCGAACTCCTGCTGCGTCGGCATCACCCGGTGCAGGCAAGGCTCAGATGGGCTGAGATGTCCTGTGGGAAACCCTCACGCTTTGCGCCTCTTACCTCCCACAGGTGGATGCTTTCTGCAACTCCTGCCAGGACGTAGAGACCGTTGGGTGACGCGGTCAAACAGGTGACAGGCCCAGGGCACATGATCTTCTGCTGGAGCTGGTCCTATGGATGCACAATCAGCCTCGTGAGCCCCGTGCAGGACACAGGAGCCCCTACAGCAGCGGAAGGCGAGGGGAGGGGACGCCTGGGCAGTGGTTAAGAGCACCAGGGAGAGGAGTCGGGAGCAGGGTGGTTTGAGCAAATGCATGGTCCTGCGAGGAAGTGTTCGCCCCTGCAAGAGGCTTCGAGGCTGGAGGTGGTAGATAAGAGGAGGCTGGTGCTTCCTCTGAGGGCCAGAGGGACCCTGGCTGGGAGGAACACAGGAACAAAACAAAGAGGATCTAGAAGGACACGGGTCCAAGAGCCCAGTAGGCTTGTGCACCGATTCTTCTATCCATAATGTCCAACCTAAGACCCCAAGCCTCAGCTTCCTCTTCTTTAAAATGGGAAAACTCGGCCAGGTGTGGTGGCTCATGCCTGTAATCCCAGCATTTTTGGGAGGCTCAGGTGGGTGGATCACTTGAGTTTAGGAGTTCGAGACCAGGCCAGGTGCTGCCCCCTGCCTGGAAGAGATGCCCGCTAGCTCTGGAAGATGCTGCGGTGTGTGTGTGCTGGGGACTGGGCTGCACCGGGCTCTATCCAAGCACTCAAGGCAGGATTAGGGCCACTTTGGGATTCGCAAGAGTCTCGAGGGGACCTGGAGAAAGGAGGCAGCAGGGTGAAGCTTAGGCTGTGACCCCTGAGCAGTCACCCATCGCAGGGCCCCAGGCCGCATGGTCTTTCCCTGGTGCCTTGCAGGCAAGGCTCAGATGGGCTGAGATGTCCTGTGGGAAACCCTCACATGAGCCACCATGCCCATCCCCCTGGTGGCCTTTGTATCTCTCAGAGAATCCTCATGCCCACCCAGCCCTCTCAGTTCTCTGAGCAGCCCACTGGGTCGCTGGGGGGGGGAGGTCTCCGTTCGCGCTCTGCGCATGCGCGGTCTGGGCGGCTTTGAGAGGGGGCGCGACCTGTAGGACGCTCTGCGCACGGCGGGCTCAGGCTTCGGCTCGGTCGGTGGGGCCAGTGGTTGAAGCGATCTGTTAGTATGGTTGGATCTGTTGGCATTGGAAAACATTGGCTCCACTCTTGGGGGGCAAACATTTATTTGTCTGTTTTTTGTTATATGTTTCGCTCTATCCGAGGTCTTGTTGTTTTGGTGCTAGAGCTCTTTTTATCGCCGCTTCAGGCATTATTTACCAGGTGTTTTTCATAATTTTCTGTGAGACTAGCAGATATATAAGGGCTAAAGGAAACATTCATACGGATGCGAGGTCAGGAAATCCGATGAAGGTGTAGAGCTCCTCTGGCTTATAACAACTGGGGTGTCAAAACCCGTGATAGTGCTACCAAGTTTGCTTTGTTGTGTCCATTTTTTAGTGAGACGTCTGTACTAAAATACGAAAGATTAGGCCGGGCGTGGGTGGCGGGGCCTGTGAGCCAGCTGCTCGGAGCACTGATGAGGCGGAATGGGCGTTGAACCCGGGAGCAGGCTTGCAGTGAGCCGAGATCGTTTAACCACTGCATTCCAGCTGGCGACAGGCGTGATGAGTCTTCGAAAACGTATGTTTTAGAATATGATACAAAAAAAATGGACACAGGCAGTCATTTTATT